AGAAGAGACAGAACAGGGTCACTTCAGCCATGAGTGCTGGTTCCCCAGCTTTTCTCACAGAAGAGACAGAGCAGGGTCACTTCAGCCATGAGCGCTGGTTCCCCAGCTTTTCTCACAGAGAGGAGACAGAGCAGGGTCACTTCAGCCAAGAGCGCTGGTTCCCCAGCTTTTCTCACAGAGAGACAGAATAGGACTGCTTCAACTGTGGGCGCTGGTTTTCCATGGCCAGCAGATCACTCCCCGCAGCCGACACAGGGCTGGTGGTTTGCGTGTACCCCTCTTGTGCCACTGTTCAGAGACTCCGTTCCCTGCTTGCCAGGAATATATATAGAAATGGGTTGGCCACGTCCCGTGTGATATTAGTAGAGCAGAGAGAAAGTTTACTATGTACCCAGAACAAGGAGGAAGGTTCCCCAGTAAGGAGAAGAAACTAGAAGAGAGAGACTCAGCTCCCAGCCTCTTATCATGGAATGTTCCAGGTCCGAGGCTTCTGATTAGGCAGTCCAGGTGGGGGTATACTAATGACCCTACAGAGGTGTCACTGAAGGAGGGGTGTATACTATTCATTAAGATTACCTTTATCTGCATTCTCAGAATAAGTCTATCTTGACATGTTTCCTCTTGGGTGCAGGAGAGGGATACACTAGCAGATTTTATGGTATTCTTTGAAGGACAAAGGCAAGAGTGTCTAGATAAGTAAATGAGTCAGTGTTTCATCAGATAAGTATCTGTGCTTTATAACCTACCATATGACAAGTCTGAATAAGACACTGATTATTAAGTGAGTAATGTACAAGTCTTAAAGTTAATTTGTTAAGGAAGAGAGGAATCCTTACGTTGTTTAAATAACTAATATAAAATCAAACAAGCTTGGGGAATAAACCTAGCTTTAATTTAGGGTTTTGTTCTTATTAATCTCTTAGATTCTAGACTCCCTGAAACAGGTGGTTCCATCCTGTTTCTTGAATAGGTCTTCACAAACTAAAGAAAGATGGAAATTGAAGGTGGAGGCAGGTTTGCCCTGGGAGCTCCTTCTACTCAAGGATAGAGCAGGCAGCATGGCTTAGTGGTGAAAAGTAGGCTCTGCAAGTATACTCTTTTCCAACGCACATGGAACATCCTCCAGAATAGACCACATATTAGGCCACAAAGGAAGCCTTAACAGAATTCCACAGCATCGAAATATTACAAAGCATCTTTTCTGACCATAAAGCCATAAAAGTAGAAATCAGTAACAGGAAAACCAAGGAAAAAAAATCAACCGCATGGAAACTGAACCACACCTTGCTTAAAAACTACTGGGTTATAGAAGAAAT